TAGAGTAGGGAGCGGTTTAGTTACCATAATAAAAAAAGATGAATGAATGTAGACAGAGGTTATGAAGATGATTAGGACAATAGATAACTTGTCTCATCAGAGAAAATTAAAATTTTTTTTTTTTCTTAGCCTGGCAAGAAGATGATTGAGAGGGTACACGATTTTAGTGAGCACGCTTGTTCATAAAATCCCATTTGTTGGGGGTAAAAACAAAGAAATGAAAAGAGCTATTTAGAATGAATGATAGTATGGCTACATACTAAATCAATGTAAGTGGATCTTCAAAGTCTTCCTGATTTTTTTTAATTTTTTTATTTTATTTTTTTTTACAATGGAAGAATAAATTACAACTCACTTTAAATATTAAACAAGTTCATGAAATATCCTCAAGTAAGATTCCTGGCCCTTTAAAGCTCTGGACTTTTGGCTTCTTTTGAAGTAGTGAAACTTCTTAAAATAAGGTTTTTGAAGAGAATAATAGAGACAAAAAAAACAAAGTGTTTTTCAGAATAGATCCTGCTGTGGTTATAGAAAAGACTTAGTACTGGGAAAATGTCCGATATGAATGTCTTGGATTTCAGCATCCTTACAGCGTTTGGTACGTTAGTTTCTGCCACTGGAGTTTTGCTGGGTAATAGAAGGGGCAATGTTGGTCTTGCCCAGTCTCACCCCCCTCACTGTAAGCTCTTGGTAGGGTTTTACCCTCTTATGAAGCATTGCAGGCTGGTTGTACACTGAATGGCCAGCTCTTCTGGGAGGTGTTCTGGAACAGAACCAGTTTCTTACCCAGGTGCTTGGCACTGAGACAGGCTGCTAACTCCGGGGTCAAGAAGGAAATTTCTTCTGGGTCAGACTGACCAGGCTGTTTCTCTTTCCTGGAGCACTGGTGACCATAGTTCACTGCCTCTGTATATCTGGATGCCAGTGTGAGGATCCAGGGTATTAGCTGTGCTCTTACTATTGTGTTTCTTCCTATGGTAACTTTACATAAAAGACCAAAAATTAAAGCCTTAAAATTAAAAAGCTTAAGCCTGTGCATAGGTTTGGAAGAGAATGGATGAATGGTCTTGTGAATCCTGGGGGCTTTGATCATGTTTCATGGTTGCAGATGCAGGGAGTGAACCTACTGATTTAGCATGGTCTTTCTGCCCTGTGTTTGAGTGAAGCTTTCTTCAAAACTCAGCAGTGAGGCATTATGAAAGGGTAAAACATTGTTTCAACTGTATTTCACACAAGATGCATGGCTTAAGGATTTCCAAAGAACAGAAGGAGGCGAGTTATGGAATAACTTGAAGTTAAACACTGAATTCTTCTTGGAAAACTCAACTTGAAAATTCTGTTGTGAGCAGTTAGCTTAATTTCTTGGAAGGGTGCAAAGAGTTCTCAGTTGTTTTCCTGCAGGAAAAATGTTTTAGGAGTGTATCACTTGTGTTAGAAGTAATCCTTCTGCTGAGGACTCGAGATCTTTGAAAAGCTGTAACCTAAGGGAGCTCTGAGACGGCTCTTGGCAAACCATTGGAAGAGGGTCGTAGGCAGTATGTGGATTTAATTGGAGACGAGACTAAGGAATTAACAGAAGCTTTTGGTGCCATAAGTATCAACTCCCATGTCATAGAATCACAGAATGGTTTAGGTTGGAAGGGACCTCAAAGATCATCCAGTTCCAACCCCTCTGCCACGGGCAGGGACACCCTCCACTACACCAGGTTGCTCAAAGCCTCATCCAACCTGGCCTTGAACACTGCCAGGGATGGGGCAGGCACAACTTCTCTGGGCAACCTGTTCCACTGCCTCACCACCCTCTGAGTGAAAAATTTCTTCCTTAGATCTAATGTAAATCCCCCGTCTTCCAGTTTAAAGCCATTGCCCCTTGTCTTGTCACTACACACCCTTGTCCAAAGCCCCTCTCCAGCTTTCCTTTAACCCCTTTAGGTACTGGAAGGCTGCTGAAGGTCTCCCCGGAGCCTTCTCTTCTCCAGGCTGAACAGCCCCAACTCTCTCAGCCTGTCTCCATAGCAGAGGTGCTCCAGCCCTCGCATCATCTTGGTGGCCTCCTCTGGACTCACTCCAACAGCTCCATGTCCTTCTTGTGTTGGGGACCCCACAGCTGAACACAGCACTGCAGCACAGGGTTGTCAGCAGAGCAGAGGGGCAGAATCCCCTCCCTCGCCCTGCTGCCCACGCTGCTTTGGATGGAGCCCAGGGCCCGTTTGGCTTTCTGGGCTGCCAGTGCACGGTGCCGGCTCATGTTGAGCTTCTCATCAACCAGCACTCTCAAGTCCTTCTCCTCAGGGCTTCTCTCAATCCATTCTCTGTCCAGTGTGTCCTTGTGCTTGGGATTGCCCCGACCCACGTGCAGGACCTTGCACTTGGCCTTGTTGAATTTCATGAGGTTCTCGATGTCGATATGGCAAAAGGAGATACGCGGCCTCGTCCTTTACGGTAGAAGGCAAGGGCAGCCTGTTGTGACGTCGTGGTGAGCGTTGAAGGTGGCATTAGTTGTAATGTAGGACTTTAGTATCCAGAATAAGTTGAAAGCCTGATTTCATGCTTGCCTGCGTTTGGTGAAGAATAGATGACCTGAAGGGAACTGTGATAGGGTGTTGGAGCAGGTAGGGGTATGGTCTGATGGCACTCATCGTGTTTCTGACGCTACCAGCAAGGCAGCCTGGAGGTGGGCTTTGAACTGGAGGGTGCTGAAGGGTGTGGACACGGGTTTGTAGCTTGGGGAAAAAAGCATCAGTGCCTGTATGTGTCCTCGGTCTTCCCTGACCTGTCTTCCCTGCTGCTGTCCCGTTCCGTCAGCGTGCGGATAGAGCCCTCCCTGTCATGGTCATCGTGTACCGTGCTGCTGCGGCGGAGGATTAATAGTGCTGTCTGAAAGTGCTGCCAGGCCCTGTGGGCATGGTGGGAATGAGACTAGAAAATGGTAATTTCCTTTTGATGGACTAAAATCTGACTATTTCTGCAATGGGCTTTGTTCCATTAGATTTAATTGAATTCTTAGTGCTTTATTGACAAGATCATGGTATGGCCACCACTGCCGCCTCTTTTCCTGACTCCGTTTTATTATCTTTCCCCTGTAATATCTAGTGAAAATCTAAGGTTATATTGGAAAAACAGATTACTCATGTAAGAATTCATACCAGCTGTATAATCCGAGTCTCATAGTCTGACTCTGCTGCAGTGTATTTCTTTTAACTCTTGCAATCCTGCTTTCCATCTTGCTGTGTTAACTCTGGTTCAAATTTGGAAATGCGAAGATGATGCCGGATCCAAATTGAGCTACTAATGCTAACGCATAATGCAGTAACTGCGTACTTAGGCTGAGGCAGAGTTCCCTCTTACCCTTTGTATCTAGCTAAAATAACTACCCTGTGTTGCTTTTTCTTTGTAAAAGAAGTCTGAAAGCCAGCTTTCTTTAATTTGCAGAAAAATATATCTATGCAACAACTTTAAATATAATCTTCCTTTAATTCTGGGAAGCTGGTTATCTTTTGACACCCTGACAAGCTGTTTGAAACTCACTAAATCTTTTCAAGCCTCTCCTTAAAATAAAAAGGAACAACATTTTATTTCATGACTGGCTTGTAAGGTGGCAATTTGAGATGGGTAGAGGATAATTTTGGTTTTTAACTTTGTTAGCAATTTCTGAGATTCAGATGAAGTGAGTGGCCACCTCTCTGAGTTGTTTTAAATAGGAAATAAGTAAAGGCAACGCTCCTCTCTTTTGGGAGTTGGAAATGTGGGGATTTTACACATGAGTAAATTAGGGAGGAAGTATTTGTAGAGAATATTGGTTCTGACGTATATCCTTAAATCCTGAGATTGTTAATGGATTTCATACTTCTGGTGGTGACATTACGTTCACTATTATGAGCTTCTTGAGAAGGAATAAGGAAACGGTCACATCGTCTGCACAGGGGGTTTATAATCTCATTGCAGTTTCTCATCACTAGAGATACATCGTCTTTCACCCATCTGGAAATCTGAGGCTCTTCACACTTGTTAAAATAATGAGTTGTGTTCCTCAAAAAGTGGGGTGAGAGAGAGCTGTATTTTGATATTTATAGCTGGTCTGTACTTGGACAGGAGCTTTTTTCACATGTCACAGTACTGAAGTGGAATATTCTTTATCTTAAAATGTTGTATGCCACTCTTTGTCGTATTATTTAAGATGATGGAAGGGTGTTACATAGGAGGGAGCATTTGAAGAAAATGGAGTATCTTGATGAAGTTGCTTGGACAGGCTGGCAGCTGTTTGGGCTGTATTTAGCGATGAAGGTGTAGAGTGCTTGGGTGCCAGAAACCCTTCCAGGGCGAGGTTTTAACTGCTTAATGGTAAATGCGTGATGGCTAACCCCAGATTCTCCAGTCGCAGGTGTTTTTGAGTAGTTAAAATAGTAGCTTAGGAAAAAAAAAGTGGTGAAAATAAAATGGAAATGCTTCCCATAGTGGGGACGCGTGGCACTGGCTGCCTAGCTGTGGGAGCGGGCGAGCTGTCGGCAGGATGACGCTGCTGCATCTTCTCCAGATTTCAGTGCAGATCTTGCCCAGCCCCACTCGGCAGTGAGCTCAATGGGAGGCACTGTCAGTTTTCACTTGTGAAGCACTATTTGAGGTTTTTTCCTTATCTGAGATGTGCTGTTTTTCTTTTGGCCTTTGGCCATGCGGACGGGTTTTTGTACAGGTTTGGGGAGCCTCTGACACAGCAGTTAGTTATAGCACAGTTCTGCGTTCTGGTCATCTCCAGCTGCCTGCAGATCTTTGGTGCTGAGCACCTCGTGTTTGCTAAACTAAATCCTAGCTGTTCACCAAGTGTGTCTGAAACGCAAAGAGATCTAGGAATAATAATGTGGTTTTCAAAACTTGCTGCTGTGCAGGAACTGTGGTACTGGAAGCAAAATCCTGCCTCAGAAAGAGAAGGGAGGACATCCAAAATTTGCTCCTCTTGACTATAGGCAGACATTACTTTTCTGCTTTCCGAATGCCTTCTGGAGAAATTTCTCTAGCTGTGTAAAGTGGCCTTTGCTTTTCATAGTTAACCAATCGCATTGTTACCATCTGAAACCCAAATTCTTTCCTCCTGCACCAGATGCAGCCCCACAGGCTATGAAATGTTGAAGCGTTTCACTAAGCGGTGCCTGGCTTTGAATGCAAACCAGGACACATCCAGCCAGGTCGTCGCTCCGAGTTGTTTACAGTCCCATGAGCTGTGGCATTTCCTTGTGTGTTTCCAGTACTTTCTGCTCAACTCCTACACCACACAAATCAAAGCTTTTGCTTAAGCTTTGAAAGCATTGTAGTTGGGGAAATAAGTGCTGTCCTGCACGTAATAGTGAAGGCATGCTGAAATTACCTCTCCAGAGGATTCTGGCGTATTAAAACACCTGTACAACTGGAAATAAGGAGCAAAGCGTTACTTCCCAGCCCTTCCTCCCTGCGCAAGCCCCTCTACCCTCACACCGTGTGGTAATGGTACTTAGAGGGGAGCTACACGCAGCCTTAATTGCTGGCTGTATTTCAGCAAACCCATTTGGTTTTCAGAACTTAGATTGGCTTGTCCAGGAGTCCTTACAGCCCCTTAAGAAATGCCGCTTGACTTGAGCGGGTCCAGAGGAGGCCACGAAGATGATCTGAGGGCTGGAGCACCTCTGCTATGGAGACAGGCTGAGAGAGTTGAGGCTGTTCAGCCTGGAGAAGAGAAGGCTCCGGGGTGATCTTATTGCAGCCTTCCAGTACCTAAAGGGGACCTACAGGAAAGCTGGAGAGGGACTTCTTACAAGGGCGTATAGTGACAAGACAAGGCGCAATGGCTTTAAACTGAAAGAGGAGAGATTTAGATTAGATCTAAGGAAGAAATTTTTCACTGTGAGGGTGGTGAGGCACTGGCACAGGTTGCTCAGAGAAGTTGTGGCTGCCCCATCCCTGGAAGTGTTCAAGGCCAGGTTGGATGAGGCTTTGGGCAACCTGGTGTAGTGGAAGGTGTCCCTGCCCGTGGCAGGGGGGTTGGAACTAGATGATCTTTGAGGTCCCTTCCAACCCAAACCATTCTATGATTCTGTGATGTTACATGTCAGCCCACCTTCTCCCCTCGTGCAGGTGACTTGATGAAGAGCGCTTCGGGGGAGTTCGCAGATGACCCCTGCTCCTCGGTGAAACGAGGGAACATGGTCCGAGCGGCACGCGCCCTCCTCTCCGCCGTTACTCGGCTGCTGATTTTGGCCGACATGGCAGATGTCTACAAGCTGCTCGTTCAACTCAAAGTAGTAAGTGTGGTCGTTTGCTGCGGTTCACTCGCCGTGCCTGGCATGCCAGGCGTGCTCTGGCGGGGGCTTTGTCTCATGCGTGGGTGCTGACCCCGGTAAGCGCACTGTCAGCAGCTCGCTTCTGGAGCAGGGAGGTTTTCAGGGGTTTTCCTCTGAGCAAAATGTGTGCAGTGGATGTCTGTCACTTGTTTTTACGCTCGTTGTCAGTAGCTTCTGACATTGTGTTGTGCTCTGTTCTGAACTTTTAGAACTGAAACTAAATGCACTGTGGCCTGCAACTGCAGGCAATAACCAGCTTTTTTCATCTTAAAGAAGTAATTTGACTTTTAACAGGTACTCCCTTGTAGCTACTAGGGATGAGTAGCTTCAGAAGACTAAATAAAATGAATGTGGAATATTTGAGGAAGCCTTTTCTTCCCAGAAGCAAGAGGGTGGGTGGGTGGTTTGTAGAGAGTTTGAAATAAAATGAGATTCAATACTGGGCCTGCTTTTGCAGCAGGTCTTTGAGGACTCTCCTTGTGCCCTTCGATGGCCACTGCTGCAGCTCTGCCAGGGCCCTGGGCTCCCTCACTTTCAAATGTGTGCACTGGGCTGTCTCTGGTAGCTGGTGGCTATGAATTAGTAGTAAAGCCTTGACTACTAGTAGCCTTTGAAGTATCTGTCTCCAAAAAATAAAAGGCGGCAGAGGGAGATTGCTTTCACTGTCGTCTATGAAGTCTGTTCTGAATTATTTCCGGAACTGTGGACTGTATTACTTGGAAAAAATATGAATATATATTCTTTTAGGTGGAAGAAGGTATCTTGAAGCTAAGAAATGCTGGCACGGAGCAGGATTTGGGTATCCAGTACAAAGCCCTCAAACCAGAGGTGGACAAGCTTAACATAATGGCAGCCAAAAGACAACAGGTACAGTGATGACAGCTCTTTCTTCTGTATATTATTTCTTCTTCTTTTTTTTCTTGAAATAAGAAAATAAGGCAGCCTAGCTGCTCTTGGACAGTACCCATTGCTGCTAATATTTTTCTTTTATTACTGACTACTTTGCGTTGCACTCCTCTGAGGTTAGGAAATTTGAGCTTGCCTGGTAAGCAGAAAGTCTCTCAGCTGTAGTGTACTGCTTCGGATGGAATTTGTTCCAGTAGCACTTATTTCTGTTAATGCCTTAGTACCTTAATGAAACGCTGCTTCCCAGGGCTTGCACTTCCATTTTGAAGCGGTGCAGGTGTGGGTGAGGAAGAGAATTAAGATGTGCCGTGGTGCCTGGTGCGCTCGCCACTGTGTGGTTCGCACAGACCGACTGAACCCGTCTGTTTAATCAGGGAGTGAAAGTTATGGCTCGGCGAAGAATTACGACTTTTTTCCCAGAAAGTGAGTGGCAATGCTGGTTAGATTTTGCACTGAAATGCTCCTTTGAAAAGGGGTTTAAAATCCCATTTGTTATGCGTGTGTTCTGTGTTTGAATGCCTTGTGCTTAACCTTAAATTGCACGTAAAATTTGTTTTGTTCAACAGCGCTGGTGTGACTCATTCTTGTGTAGGTAAGTTTTCAAAAGAAAGCAGAGGTGTGGGCAGTCCCATTTATCAGAAATAGCATAATTCTTGTAGAGCATTTTTTACTTGTTTGTTCTGCTGATATGTACAAACCAAAACTGCCTGTGCACCTCGGACACTACTTGTTTTTTTTTCTCAGATTCATCTGTGAAAATAAACTGAGTACAGTCTAAAATGGATTGCCAGTTGGTTATGTATCTAAAATCTGATTGCAGTAAATGGGAGTAGGGTTGTGATGGCAATGCAATAAATGGTCTTCAACTGCTTTGTGACGGGTCGTTCCGCACTGTGGGAAGTGGTTGTATGAAATCTGTAAAAGCCTGCTTGGAGTGCCCTCCCTGCTTAGTATGTATCTTACAGAGGTCGTGTATTACTCATTTGTTTTGAAGACTCTCAGATTTTTTTTTTTTGCCCTTTCTCACTTAAGGCAGTCCTCTTCTTTATTTTCATCACCTCTTCATTAGATTTAAGAGAACTTTAAAATTACGATACTGCTAATAACTGTGTTCATTCTTTCTTTTGTAAACTCACTGCTCATGCTGGAATCAGAAGCTTTATCTAATCATAGTGCCTCTATTCCAAAACAGAGGTGATGGTGCTTTAGAGAATTGCAGCAGTGAGTGCTTGGGAAAAGACATATGGACTTGCTTGCTAATCTTAAATTAGCAGTAATTACAGTCATTGGATTAATTTCGTCTCATTGGAGATGAACAAGAAGTTGAATGAGATGATATATTTGTTCTTCCAAAATTCAGGACCCAAGTCTCTTGAGAGTAAGCTCCATCTTCTAGGTGTGATTAAAGAAAACATTCTGATATGAGTCTTGGAGTTTAAATTAAAGATCTTGCTTCTCGTGTGCAAGTGTAAGACAAGATTGCAGGGGAAGCCTCTTGTTCGTTTGATAGGTAAAAATTATCTTGCTTTTTAAGTTATCTAAAACGGTAAGTATTTTGTTTTGAGGATTTAGGTTTCTTTGTGATATTTTTTTTTTAGATACAATGCAAACTGGAAGAAAAAGGGAACAAAACATGTGCTCACAACTTCTGTGTCCTCCTGATTTACAGGTGTTACCAGCTTTAAAAATGCTGGTCCTCTACTGTGGAGAGGAGCAAAAATCCAACCTCAGATTTTGAATTGTGGAGTTGTGAATTGCCCTACAGTGGTGTGTTTTTTTTTTTTCTTGTCTTTATGAAGCTGTTGCGTGTTTAAATCAGTCGAGCCCTTAAGAATAGATACTCAAGATAGTTAGGTTTGAGCACACTAGACACAGAGCCTGCCTGTCTTTTGAAGATGCAGGATGACAGTGTATGGATGTTAAATGTGGGGAACGTTCTCCAATACTTTTTTTTTCTTTAATTTTCCTACCAGGAGTTGAAAGATGTGGGTCACCGCGATCAGATGGCGGCAGCCAGGGGAATTCTGCAGAAGAACGTTCCCATTCTTTACACAGCGTCCCAGGCCTGCCTGCAGCACCCTGATGTGGCCGCGTACAAAGCGAACAGGGACTTGATCTACAAGCAGCTTCAGCAGGCGGTCACGGGCATCTCGAACGCCGCTCAAGCAACTGCCTCGGATGATGCTGCCCAGCAGCAGGGTGGAGGTGGAGAGCTGGCTTATGCTCTGAACAACTTTGATGTGAGTTCTGAACCCTTGGTGTAAAAAAAGTAGTGGTAACTCCAGCTCTTGTGCTCGTTCACCTCTTTTACTGCCAACAGCTTGCTTTTATTTGTATGGCCCGAAAGATCATTTTCTTTGAAATATAGTAAGTCCCAGGTAAAGTAGGCTTTTCCATTTTAAGAAGTCTTTTTTCCAAACTGGGATTGATGGAATATAGAAAGTTATATATGTGGTTCTCAGTGATTGAAGGCTGTCAAGTTAAACTAGCTCTGAAATAGCAGTTAGCCTACTGCTACACCAGATGTAAGCCCTTGGTTTGTTTGAAACTGATTATTTCATAATATATTTATGTAATGTAGTCTTGTAGGTGACAGAAATGACTTATTAAAAGTGAATAATGTATTTGGAATTGCCCAAACTACCTATTGAGAGGAACATGAAGTGGGAAGTTTAATTTGATCTTTGGTTGGGAATGAAGTCGTTTTGCACTGATGTGTTGTACTGATCTGTCATAGTCTTTATCTCGTATTCAGTAAGTTCATGAGGATAGCCATGCATTTTTACTGAGAACACTTTCCTTTTGAAGCCAGGATTCTGAGTCTACCACTGATTCAGCCTCTGAGTTTTAAACACGTTGGCATTAACTTACCTCTGAAACTTTATTTAATATTGCAAAGCCATCACTCAAAAGGCATTTAATACTTTGGTTTTTGCCAGATATTGCTCATCTTCTCCTTTTTGCTCTTAGCCACTCTTGTTCCTCCCCTACATTACTTTCTCTGCCATGTTTCTTTTACCAGGATAAAGTGCTCTTTGAGTTCTCCTGTGCCCGGCGTGAAGCCTTTCTCTGTGATCTCTTGGGTAACAAGAGGATGTCGTGGTCATTTGATCTTTGTGACTATGATTTTGGTTTTAAGTCTGCTTTTCTGAAACCCCATCCATCGTACATTAAGCTGCGTACACCTTAAGAGTGTGCCGCAGGTTAGCGCCAAGGGATGGCAGGTTTGCACGGGTGTCTGAGAGGGGGAGCCAGGTCCTGTAAGAGCACAAAACGCGAAGGGCTGACTTGGGTACGTAGAATCGAAGTAGTAATTCAGTTCAGGTTCATGGGTTGGCTAATCTAGCTCAACCCATTTAATGTGATTGCTGATATATGGCCATGTTTTACTACATGAACTCTCTAATATATGGCCGGAGACTTCCTGGCGTGTTGCGGTTCACGTGGAGCTTTTGAGCTCTTAGTTCCGCTTTGTGAGGCGCTAACGGCAGCAGGGCTCGCTCAGCAGGCCGGCGTCGGGGCGGGTCGTGTGCCGTAGCTTTGTCGTCTCCTTCCTGCCAAAGGAGACTGGCAAAACAAATGTGTTCAGGTTCTTGGCAGATGTTATCCCTGCACTTAATTTCCTGCTAACGTTTGAGTGTTATTGCGCTCTTGTCATAGAAGCTTCGCACGCACCCGCCCCCAAATACTCCAGTGTTTTTACTGTGATGGTGAAATATTAAATGGCTACCAGAAAATTACAAGATAATCATTATCTCTGTTTCTGATGGTGCAGTTCTGGAGCAGTAGCCTACTAACTTTGTATTATCTGCACAGTTTCAGGAGAAACGAGGAGCGTGTTGGAGAACACGTGCCATGTTTCAATCATGCTGCGAGGGCTGCGTGGTTACTCCGTGGGGAGATGAAATGCGTTGGCTGGCAGGAGAAGGAGTGGTTGTGACATTGCTGTTGAAGTTAGCTGGCGTGCAAACTGATGGCAAAAACTCCCATTTCAAACTTTGGGGCTTCTCTTGTAAAGACTTCGCAACATCCTCCCCTTCCCATAATGGGAAGAAAACCCACCCAAACCCTAAACAGACCACCAGTGGTGGTTTGAAATGGCCAAATAATTTTTCCTTAATAAATTGCAAACCTTTCTAAAACCTGAAAGCACTCACAACATGGATAAACACTACATTGCTTCTTCCTGGTGAGCTTCTCGGGGCGGTGGTATCGGTCCCCTGGAAAGCAGATACGTCAGTACTGCTGTTTCAGCCTTAAGTCTCTCAGGATGAGCTGTGCTTACTAATACTCTGTCAAGATAAACCTGTGATAGTTTTCTGCCGCGAAGAAATTGGTTTCTGAGCTGTTTGAAACATTCATGTTGATGTTTCATTTTGAGAAGTTTTGAGGATACAGTTGTATTTACCTGCATAACGGTGGAGAGAAGAAACACCGGATAATCTGGGACAACAGAGCACTACATATAGGGCTAATTCTGGATGTTTGCTTTCCTTGTTTTTGTTTGTTTGTTTTTTTCCTGATGGGATAATTATATCTGACAAGTTAACTAGTGAAGGCACGTCTGGATTGACATGTAGTTAAGAGGAGTTCTGTACTTTGAACCTTATTTGTGCTGGCACGTTTGATTTTTGCCATTCATGTAATGAGGCTTCCTGTGGCCAAGTTTTGTTGAGCTGTCAAAGCAGCACAAGAAATGACTAGCAATGTAATCTGCTGGGGAACCTTTTAGTAATTTTACAAAACTACTCATGAAAATCCTCCTCGGTGCCAAGATTGTGCGTTGCTTGCCTTTTACGCCCGATCAGGGGTTTGCTGTAAACGATTACCTTGATGACTTAACAGTAGCTTACTGCTTGATCCGATTTACTAATTTCTAAACCCTTTATTTTTACTAGAAACAAATTATTGTGGATCCATCGACCTTCAGTGAAGAACGTTTTAGGCCTTCCCTGGAAGAGCGCCTGGAGAGCATCATTAGCGGAGCAGCCCTGATGGCTGATTCATCCTGCACACGTGATGACCGACGGGAACGTATAGTTGCTGAGTGTAATGCAGTGCGACAGGCCTTGCAGGATCTGCTTTCGGAATACATGGGGAACGTGAGTATCTTCTGTTTGTTTAGTTTGTGTGCGTTTTGAACTCCGTGGGATTATCTAAAATGTGGAATCGAAGCTGCGTGTCTCGAAGTTGGTTGGTTCTGATCCTGAACAGAGTTTGAACAGCAACCAGTAGTCCTGAAAGGTTTGTCAGGAGGCAGGATCAAACATCCTTTAATCATCAATGATACTTAGTTTGAATTGATCTCTAGTCTTCCAAGCAACTATTATCACCATAAAGTGTTAACTCTTTGGCACTGTCTTTATTTTATGACTGTTAATATTGATTTGTATAGAAACTCAATAGAATTGGTCTGTTTTTCCACCTTGATTTACATAAGGTAAGTTGGGTTATGGAAAAAGTAGTACTTCTTCAATTCTGTTGAAGCTTGGAAAGTTTAACTGTCATCTTTTTAGCTAAAGGCATAGATTCTCAGAATCAAGTTAATTACTGTTGCTCCTCAGTGTGAGTAAAGGTGATGTATGAAGTTACTAAGATGTATGAAGTTTACTAAGAAATCCTGGGAAGAGTTTGATATAGACATTGGTCTCTGAGCAGTGCTTTTCCAGTGTTTAGGCATTTAATGTGCACACAGTATTTGAAGCCTGAGTGTTCCCACGGTTGGAGTAAGTGTCAGGTCATGCGGATGAGCTTCTGTGTTTGAGGGCATCGTGATATAATACTGGACTTCCATCCCCTCCATTGCCTCTGTGTTCTTATCCCCATGGGTTTTAGTCTGAATGGCTCTTGCGGTGTTGAGAGATGAGGCTGGGCTATCGTAGGATTTAAACTTAAATGCTGCTAAAATTGATTATTTCAGGAAAACAGTTGCAGAAATGACAGCAACGTCAGCAAGCCTCGTGGCTGGTAGCGCTATGGCAAGTAATATTGGCTGAAGAAACGTGAATGAGATGAGGCGAAGTCTGATTCATGCTTTTGTGCATGTTTGAGGCGAAACTTGGTTCGGAGAAACCTTTTTTTAGCCAGTAGAATTTGTTTAGGAGCATCGCTGTGTTATGGACCTTACCATCAAATCTCCTGGCGAAAAATGCTTGAGCACAGAGTAAAACCAGTCCAAGGGCTGCCACGTTGTGGGTTAGGGTGGTGCAATTTGGAGAGCACATGCAGTGTGTGGTAGAGAGAAAGTAAACCAAGGATTTCTGTTTACTAAAGACAAGGACAGAGTAATTGAACAAAACTGAAAGCCAAGTCGTACGTGGCCTGTGGGCTGAGCTAGGTACTTCATGTAGCCTGCCTTAATTGCTGTTGAAAGTAGCTGGCGCTCGGCGCTGATGTTCTACAGAACTTCAGAGCGCAGCTGGGAAGTGAGCCGCTAAGTTGTGCCGTTTAAAATTCCTTCCAGAGTGGGATGGTTTATGAGTATATGAGGTGTCTGTAACAATCCCTCTAGCAAACGTGCTGCGGGGTGGGGTGAAGCCCTGTCGGCGTGATTCAGAATGAAACATTCTGAATTAAAGAAGCAAAAGAGGCAAATGCTCGGTCTTGCACGTAAGAGTTGGTGGCATTTCTCTCACTGAAAGTTGGTCAATACCTGTGTGAGATGGCAGAGCTTGGGCTTCTTTTCACAGAAACGCCGGTCCTCCTCCTCGGCTGTGTCCTGTTGTCTCTGATATGCAAGTGAAAGTGATCATGCGGAGATGGAAAGAATGTATTCCCTCTGTTATCTCTTTTAACACATTGTGAAATTAGTGGAGCGTGCTGAATTTTTTAAAGTCACTGCTACGTTATGATTGTAGCCAGTGTAGTTGGGGAAATGAGATTAGAAATTCAGTGAAATGGAGTGGAAAAAGCAATTGATAAATTATGGTGAAAATGTGGGATGGTGTGTAAAAATCCATACTGAGGGTAGGAAAAAAAAAAACACCCTCAATGATTAAGCTGAAGAATGAATAATAGTTGGGAATCTAAACAGTGAAAAAGGCTTGATGCATCTCCAGGAAGAGTAGGGACGTGCTGACTTACAGTGGTGGCAGAGGAAATGTCGTATCATGTATATATGTATGATCTGCCCACCGCTGCAGCACCCCGCCGTCTCCTGTTATGCTTTCCTTCAGAGGGAGCCTGGAGAAGGAAACGGATTGGGCACTAAACCTGCTAATTGTGCGGCACTTCAGTGCATCCCAAATCCTCTCCGAGTCCTATAACAGGAGGTGTTTGTTGGCCAAGGGTAGAAATCCAGAGAGAAGACTGGGTGAGGAATACACTGGAGAAGTTGAAGCACAGGAATATCTTGAGGCAGATTCCCTTTTAGTTTTAAAGGCCTGCTGGTTTCGTGACGTCCTCTAGCTTTTGGGTTTTCTTTCAGATCTCTGGCAATAAAAAGGCTGTTTCCTAGATAGTTTGTAACTCCAAGTTTGGTGCTTTGGACCCATAGTTTAACTGTCTCTCTGGGCCTGTCCCCAAGGGTCTGTAGGTCTGCAAGTGTTGTAGGCTGTGTTACCATGTGTGGCAGAAGTTTCTGTCTGAATAACAGTTTCCAGTAATAAACTGAATAGCAGGATCTCTTGACCCTGCTGGATCTGCTGGTGTGGTGATGAAGCCTGTGATGTTTGTTCAGTAGCTTTGTTACAGAAGTTTGTATCCCCTTTTCCTAGACTGGCGTGTGTTTTATTTCCTATCTAGCACACCGGTCTTGCCATTTTCAACGGCAACATTTCCAACTTGGTCAGACTAAATTTTGTACATCAAGGCCAGTGTCCTGTCTTGACAGTGGTCAGCAGTGGATCCCACAAGAAAGAGGACAGTAACAAGGGAGGTGTGTAGTTTTTCTTACCTAAAGTGTTCCCCAAGTGCTGGCAGCCTGCAGCTCAGATCCTTCCCGAGCTAGCATTGCTGACTGCAGTTAGGGGCTCTTCATGGACTTCCCCAGTGAATCTGTGTAGCTTTTCTGAACCCTTATAAACTTACAGCATCCATAATCTCCATTAGCAAGGAGTTCTGCTTAAATAGGTGCTGTGTGAAGAAACATCTCCTTTGGTTTTGAAGCAGAACGACCTTCTGCCTGTTCTGGTGGGTGTTCCATCTCATTTAGGAGAAGACCCTGAGCAGGTACTCCATGCTCATCCTTTCCTATGCCACTTACATTGTTTCAGAGCCACATCATGTAGGAGACTTTGGTCTTACCTTCCCCAGAATGAAGTGTCCTGGTTTTATTAGGTGCTTGTCATAAACAAGGTATTCAACACCTCCTCTCAGCTTTGGCAGTGTTACCAAGCAGTGTGGTGGATTAGGATGGCATTCATAGACTAAATCAGTGAAATGCCTGTGCTCGTCTGCATTTGGCAGAAGTTTGCATCAGCTGATTTTAGCCTAGTCCCGTGGACCGGGTGCTAGTTAGTGTTTGGTGTTGTAGTGGCTGTCTCCTTGTTTAGACTCACTCAAAGAATCCAGCTTCTGTGGCCCAAGAAGGCTCTGAGATGAGACTCGCGGTGTGTCAGGCGGCAGTGGTTGAGAGGTGAGTTTCAAAAGTGTGCTTCAGATCTGAGCCAAAACGCTGGTGGAGTCACGTTCTGCGACCACCTCCTGCGCCTTGTCTGCATCTTCAGATTCCCTTGGAGATTTGGGGAGCAGAACTGCATCTGCCCTTCAGGATTCCGGCAGTGTCATGGGATCTTCTGGTTTTGTTCTTTAGTCCTGTGCTGACAATGCCTAGTGCTTGAGTTGTTTGATAGCTGCTGAA